GGAGAGGCTCTGGCCTTTACAAGGGAGGCATGATTAAACACGGGGGTACTTTGCTCATTGAACAAGATCAAGACATGGTTGGAGGAAAATTAGACCCAAATCAGTCCTGGACTGATCAAGTGTCCGGATTGAATTTATGGGGTTCGGTTCTGTCAAAGAGCGACATGTATTATTATCAGCATATGATACGAAATAAACAGTACTTACCAGATTCAGATCTAATTGTTTCGTTCTAGCTTAAAACATGACACAATTTCTTTAATTTCTTCAAACCTTAATTTTCTTTTCATTTCACAGTACCACCTTTTCTTCCTTCGACATTTTTTTTCGATATTGACGATAAACAATACTTGTTTGAGTCACTGTACCTTGACATTCTAAACAAGCACGCACCACAAAGGCAAGCACACATAAGGGGCAATCAAATTCTTTTCATGAATGAACAATGGCGTAAAGCCATTCGTCACCGCAACAAACTTTGGAAGAAGTTCACGCATCAGAGGACCGACGCTAATTACGCCGAATATAAGAAACATAGAAACGAATGCACGTCAATTAGGCGCAAAGCGATTAAAGATCATTTTAAAAACAAGTCAGAGACCGACAATCCACGTGCATTTTGGGAGGCTTATCGTCCTTTTATGCATTCGAGGTCAAGTAAACAAGCCAATGACATTACGCCAATTGAAAACGATGTAGTTATAACGGATAAAAAAGAATTAGCTGAATTGTTCAACAACTACTTTGTTCACATCATTGATGATGTACAGGACATTAAAGAACATAACTTTGGACACGAATTCAGTGCACACCCCAGCATTCGAGCAATTGCAGAGGAAAACATAAGAAAGAACGCCATACATAATTTTAATTTTAAATACACCAGTAAGATCCAGGTTGAAAAACTACTACTAAACATCAACGCACGCAAGGCTTGCGGCCACGACACCATAACTCCGCGGCCTCTTAAGGAATCCGCTTCTGTGATATCTGGTCCACTAGGAGAATTAATGAATGAATCGATCAAACAATATAAATATCCTTCTCGATGGAAAACGGGGCAAGTAACACCTCTTTTCAAGAAAAATGATGAATTGTGTAAAGGAAATTATCGACCAGTTACTGTTTTACTGGCCCTAAATAATGTTTTTGAGAAACTCCTTGCTTCTCAACTAGATCAGTTCTACACTGAACTATTGTCTGACTACATCTCAGCGTATAGGAGACACTATAGCTGTGAAACCTCGTTAATGAGGTTAACAGAAGATTGGAAGCGTAGTCTGGATAAAAGACAAATTGTTGCAGTATATCAATGGATTTATCTAAGGCTTTTGACACCATACCGCATGGACTTTTTGCTGGCTAAGCTGAAGGCTTATGGTGTCAACAGTAGAAGTTGTATGCTTCTTAAAGATTACTTACATGGTAGGATGCAGCAGGTGAAAGTAGGTGATACAAGCTCTGATTGGCAAGAAGTCAGGCGAGGAGTACCTCAAGGCAGTGTTCTTGGACCAATGTTTTTTAATATTTTTATAAATGATTTATTCCTACAAATCAAAACTGTTCAATTAAGTATGTATGCAGATGATGGTCAACTCTACACTGCCAATACGGATCCGGTATCTTTGGAAAGGTGTATCTCGCGTGAGGTAAGCTCAGCAAATGCCTGGTATGAGATCAATGGAATGATAGCAAATCCCAGCAAACACCAAGGGATGATACTAGGAAAAACTGATCATCAATTTAATTTCTCAGTAAATGACTCAGTGGAACTTTTTGGCGTCACAATTGATAAAGATCTTACGTTTAAGTAACATGTGTCCTCTATATGTAAAAAGGTAAACAATCAGTTTAGCTTTATGACAATGTTCGGCAAACTGATGTCTACTGAAACCATGCTACGTCTTTATAAGGCATTTATACTTCCTCACTTTATTACTGTACTATGGTGTGGCATTTCTCTGGTAAAAAAAATTCTGATAAATTGGATCTTTTAAACAAACGTATTCTTCGATTTATTTTCAAGGATTTTAACTCTGAATACAATAATTTACTTAAAAGGGCAGGAACTGTAAACCTTAAGGACAAGCGTTTACAAAACATGATTCTTACTATTCAGTTTAAATGTCTACATTTTTCTGATTATCCAAGATGTTTGAAAAATATGTTTCGCTTGCGCTCTAGCACCTATTCTTTAAGAGGACATAATATACTCTGTTTGCCTAAACCACTGACCACTTCTTATGGCATCAATTCCTTTAGTTACTTGGCAGCAATATCTTGGAATTCTCTTCCTGACCATCACCTCACTATTTCTGATTTGACTTCTTTTCGACGACTGTTATCTACTGGGTACAATAATTTACTTAAAAGGGCAGGAACGTAAACCTTAAGGACAAGCGTTTACAAAACATGATTCTTATTATTTTTAAATGTCTACGTTTTTCTGATTATCCAAGATATTTAAAAGATATGTTTTGCTTGCGCTCTAGCACCTATTTTTTAAGAGGACATAATATACTCTGTTTGCCTAAACCACAGACCACTTCTTATGGCATCAATTCCTTTAGTTACTTGGCAGCAACATCTTGGAATTCTCTTCCTGACCATCACCGCATTATTTCTGATTTGACTTCTTTTCGACGACTGTTATCTACTGGGTACAATAATTGACTTAAAAGGGCAGGAACTGTAAACCTTTCTACATCAAGATGATTTGTTAGTTAGTTGTCTTGGTAGGTAGTTATCCTATTTGTTATAGAATTAATCTCTTTATTATAATTATTTATTAATGCAGTTTGCTCGAAGATATTAGCATCCGAGTGCTACACTGTAAATTTGAGGGTAAATAAAGTTTATTCATTGATTGACTGAATCCTGGTATCAATGGATCCCCATAGATAATTTATGGGAAAAAGTCAAGAAATTCTCATGTTTGAAATCAATTAATTTTTTAATTAAAACTTACATAGCGCAACTTTCCATGGCACATGATCACATAAGCTTTACAATAAGTTAAAAAGACTAAAATTTATAAAACTTACAAGCAGATAGAAAGAAAAATCTAAAGGCAGTTTATGGTTTTTGTCATTGTTATCGTTATCCAACAAGTGTGGAGCTACACCTGTTGTAAAAATCTCCTTGATCGGTCGTAAAAATTCTTTGTGGGGTTCAGATTTCACCGCTCTTTTCCCTTTTTTTATTAATTGAATGTCCTGCCCTTAGGCAAAAATACAGAGTTAGAGAAAAAGGTGGCCAAAATTTCATGACCCAATGGAATGAAATACCTTTCTTCTTGCTCTGGCGCTCATCTATCGACTAGACAACCCCAGACAGATCGATCAAAATATAAATACAATAATTTTTCAAGAGATTTACCTATGTATGTTAGTATTCATCATTTAAATTTCCATAGACCCAAAACAATTTATGTAATGACTTGCCATATCACAGCGTTATAAATGAAAACGGATAAGTCTTTATGGATAAAATTCGTCGGCAGAGATAAAGAAGAAATTGCGTCATATCGCATCAGGTAAAATAATTGTTTCTGTTGTTAGTTCTCAGGAAATTATCACTCTTTTTATTTTCAAAGTTGCTGAAAAATTCGGCAACGTCCGCTCTAACTATGCCGTCCCCTTCCATGTGAACGATCAGCTCATCATTTTTTCAGTTGCCATGCCTCCTTTCTCAGTCTTCCCTTACATTTCCCTTCCTATAGATAACGATCTAGAAGAGAGACTCCATGAATGAGGTTGCCTCACTGTTGGTACGCAGTCTAACGCGTTCCATCAATCTCTATTTAGTCGATGTTATTTACAGCACTTGCTAATATTATCGCCGTTCGTCAGAATCATATGCATGTATCAGAACTTTTGTGATGCATTTGAATTAAAAGATACTCCACTGGTGTAGTGGGTAGAATATTTACATTCACTGGAGGCGAAAATCATTTTTGACCCAGGCCTTAATTAACCTGAGGTAGTGAAAAGAAGGCCTGAACAAATTCAGGCCTGTACGGGATTTGAACCCATGACCTCTGCGATACCGGATGAAATCCCGGCCTGAATTTTTTTCAGGCCTTCTTTTCATTACTGCTCACGTAGTGTTCATTACTGCGAAGATCGCTTTCATCTTCACGTCTTTATCCGCAGTTCAAATATATGACTTTCATATATTCACAGCCGTTTGAAACAACTAGAGTCAAGCTCCAAACTAAAACGAGACAATTGAAACTAGATCTGGCAATTGACATTTATTTCATTTTAGTTTTAGCTACCAGAGACTGTTTTCAACAGAATTTAAGGATAAACTGTAACGTTGCCATGAAGACTTTCTTTAGCATACAGCTGAGACCACATAACCACTGATCCTAGAGTCACGTGACAATGGTGGTACTCAGCTGCGATGTCACTTTCTGACAGAACCACTCCCCATACATTTATTCCAGACACTTCACCGATCCAGGACTGTCTTGGGTCGAAATCTCCCCCAACTTCGTCTTGGTCTTGTCCAATGACCACAGTACCTCCCTTTTCAATCGTGCCTCCCTTGTAAAAGTCAGAGCCACTCTTGATGACTTCTCCATCTATCCAGAATTGGTAATCTCCGTTTGTGTTGCTCCATGTGAAACAACAGTGGTGAAATAGACCATCACTAGGGATTTCTTGGTCAGTTTTCCTTTCGAAAATAAGGGAAAAAAAAGAAATTAGAATTTAGAAAAAAAAAAACCCGAATTGTGATACGATCTATCAAAGTTGGGGGAGATGCCTTTTTGAAACATGGAATTGCCTCTGCTCTCCACCTCCTCCAAATGTTAATCCTAATAAAACACAGAGCGGTTTCATCCTTGCTTACATACACTGAAAAGTTTGAGAAAGACATTGTACGAATTTTTTAAAAAGCGAAGGGAAGGAGTTACATTGTACTTGACTATTGCGATACTATTCTTCTCCTACTGAGTAAATTACCACAGAGCTGACTATACCTCCTTTGGCCATGGATAAGCACTCGGAAAGTAGGATATGAGCAAAGAGTCAATTCATTGTCTGATCCTGGGACAGCGTAGCTGAACACACATTGATTATCACTGGGCTCGACATGGTTAGGATTCCACTGTGCAATCATGCAGATTGAAACAGCATGCAGATCGTATACGAAAGCGTTTTCTATCATTGCATAATCCGTGATGGGACCTGGTAACACCATGACTTTGTCTGAAAGGTAAATACAACTGCGTTTAGTTGTAGTGAATTAAAGCACCCCTGTGCAATTTATGCTGACTATGACTATGGGGGAGATTTCGACCTGACTACCGCGTCAAGGACGAGGAATGACCTTTTCCCATCAAAATCAAGAGCTTCTTGGAAATTGTAACTTCAATTCAATTACTGATGTTATGTTTATTATGAAATACACGGCGAGGTACACATCGTTTGTAACAATGATTCTGAAATTACATTGCAATCTTTCTCGCATGGAATCGATCGATAACGGTGTGAGTCTAAAATTGAACAAGTCAATGCCGATAAAGAATGGGGTCGTAAAAAGCTGGTCGTCATTATTGATAACCGAAACATCATTTGATGGTTTCAATCCTACCTCCTTCCTCTCTCCCATGCCTTAATCTCTTACGTTACTTTAGAGCCCAAGGATACCAAGATTGGGTAATTAATTTTTCAACAAGAACTTATGGCGTACCATTACGCAACGTGCGACTATGAATATCTAACGAACAAGTCTCGGAAGTCAGATAATATAGATTAAGCTGGGCCTAAAAGTGGGGTTCCAGTGACTTAATTCCTCTGCCCTTCGCTTCATCACAGGCTGTTGAAGAGTCTATTTATATAAAGTTATGGACCAGTCAGGTAGATGCGAGGGAGTAATTGTATGGTCTATCAAAGAGTGGGGGATCCAGGGAAAAGCTTGCATTTCATTTGCTGACCTTTCTTCGAAGGGTCACATTCGGCTTGCCTCTTCTCCAGCTTTCTGTCCTCCGTGGCCAGCGCTGAAACAAATACACCCGCGAGCAGCCAAGTAGTTATCCAAAGGGAATTCATTTCTGCTCTGTTTCTGCGACGTTGGAAGACAAAGAGAAATTGTTAATATGTCGCTTGGTAATGAAACGCAGCTAAAGGCAAGGTATTTAAGAAAACCGGAATCCAGCAAATTATTTATCGATATGCTTCTTTCTTCTCTTTTTCCTTGTTTGCACGCTATCAAATATTGTGAAAATCACATTCCTGCTAGAAATACGATGAACAACAGTTTTAAACAGAAGTTTTAAAAGGAAGGTTAGTTTCGGAAAGTAAATATTTTCCGATAAACTGGCGGTATAGGTTAACAGCATCACAATCCTTACCTTTTTCCCGAAACTTGTGACTTTCAGATGAGATGCTTTCCTCAAGTCTCGAACTCGAAATAATGAAAGGTGTTTTCAACTACGCCTTTATAGATCCTGTTTGATTCGTTCTCAGTGCCTAAACTCCCTTCTTGATAAAAGGAGACAAAGGAATGCTTTCTGATAGATCTGTTTCTTGGCTACCAAACTATTAACGTCTAAGGTGCCTTGTAATTTCCTAATTTCAAATTGAACATACTGAGCTAACGATAAGAAATGATTAAATAACTACAGGCGGCCAAGTTCCAACTGTGAGATAATCATCTTGCGAAGTAAGAGTTATGGCGAAATAACAAGAGTTTTTATGGGAATATTTACGACCTCTCTCAGGAATACGTGCATACGTAGTAAACCTAGAAATGGATGACTCGCTATCAGCATAGTAAGCGGTTAGATTAAAAGCGATGCATTGTAGAAGATGAAGTATTTTTAGTGAGAATTTGACTGTATGTGTTTTTTTTATTCCTAAAAGCGGTCGTAAATATTCCCATACAAACTCATATAATTTTGCCATTACTCTTATTTCGCAAGATGATCATCTCACAGCTGGAGCTTGGGCGGCCTGTGGAATAAATGAAAAGAAATTGATTTCGTACGAAGTGTAACGTCTCGACACTGAGTACTTCAGCGTAGAAAGACATATTTGCATCTAATTCCATTATCGTTGACTTGATAAAGAAGTTTAGACAACTTCAAAATGTCTGATTTTGGTAAAAATTTGAACCAAGATAATTTGAAGTTTTTCAATTAAAAGCGAGTCTGTTCTCGCAGACTGAAACACCTGTTGTAAAAAATTTCATTCAAGGGTTTAAAAAAAAATTTTTGTAGAATTAAAATTTTATTACCTTTTCTATGAAGTTTTTTTTCTCGAAAATCCTGCCCTTAAGGTGCCGGCCACATCTAAAGGGTTGGGTGAAATGACATAACTGTGTTGAAAAAAACCTTTTCCTTTGCTCTCACGCTGATCATTTGATCACAAACCCCAGACAGATTAACTTGCACATGAATACTGTATCTTTTAAAAGTGTTACCTATTTCTCTGTTAAAATGAAACCCTGGCTTCGAAATCCTGACTACTCATTCATAATGCTCTTGCAATTTCGCCTATTCCTAAAGATTTGCAAAGCAGTTTTTCTTCACTGAAAAAAGTTACTTGATAAGCAAAACGTTTATTATGAAAATTCTTGAAGGCAGTGTGTTGAATCTATATTACAAAAACATTCTGAGACTCGCGCTCAGCGTTGAGTTACGATTGCCGTTTCGAAGTTATTTTCCTCAGTCCTGTTCAATATTTTTTTCGTGATAAACACCGGAAAATACCTGTAAAATAATGAGTGATATACTGTTGTAACTGGCCATTCCTACATATTCGATGGGTCTGAAATTCAAGCTCGTTTTACGTGGAGCACAAAACGAAAAATGAAAGGGTATCTATACCTAGATTTATGTGGCAGTTTAACGAAAAAGCTTTCTCTTTGAACGCATTTTTATTCTTTCAATTTCTCAGACCGCCATCGTTTTAAATCCCCTATTTTTAATTAGTTTTTTTTTTTTTTAAGGTGACTAATTTCTCACTAAAATCAATAGCCTGCGTGTAAAAAGTCTGGAATAACATGGATTTCAAAAGAATTTCTTGACTTTTCCCGTAAATTGTCTATGGGGATCCATCGATGCCCGGATTGAGGGATGTGGAAAAAAAAATGTCGAAGGAAGAAAAGGTGGTACTGTGAAATAAAAAGAAAATTGAGGTTTGAAGAAATGAAAGAAATTGTGTCATGTTCCGAACTAGAACGAAACAATTAGACCTGGATCTGGTTAGTGCTGTTTATTTCGTATAAGATACTGTTCATAACACATGTTAACATCTTCAGGATAAACAAAAGTTTCGCCTCGAAGCTTTTCTTAAGCGTGCAACTGGGACCACATGACCGTCGATCCTGTCCTCACATAACAGTTGCGATACTGAGTTATAATGTCGCTCTTTGATAGAACCAAGCCCCATAAATTCAATCCAGCCATGTAAACTTGACCAATCCGGGACCGATTTGGGTCGAATTTTCGTCCAACCACGTCTTGATCTTTTCCAATGACCAAAGTACTCCCGTGTTTAATCATTCCTCCCTTGTAAAGGCCAAAGCCACTCCCGACGACTTCTCCATCTAGCCAGACTTGATAATCTCCGTTGATGTTGCTTCATGTGAAGCAAAGGTGGTGAAAAAGTTTATCCACACTGGGGAGGCTTACACCCCTAATTTTCCTTTAAAAAAAACAGAGAAATAATGTAAAGACAAAATCAAGCCAAAACATATGTTCAACAATATTTTCGATTAAAGTTGGTAGAAAGTTTTGAACATACAAAGGCTCTTTTTCTCTATCTCTCACAAACGCTGATCCTGACGAGGCAAAGAGCAGTTTGATCCTGACATACACAAACACAGAATTTGATTTGATTTTCATAAGCCACGGGGGGGTGTTTGGAATTGATCTTGAACAACTTTATTTGACTGATGTAAAACTGCAGTAGGACAGAGCTAAAACAATCCTTTTGATCATATGGATATTGAATTCTTGAGAGGGATTTGTGCCTTTCGTAAATTCTTTGTGAAATCCCGGGACAGCGTGGCTTAAAAAAACATTGCGAACCCTTGGGTTGAATACTTGTTTCTGCGACTTGCATTGCCTAGGCGCGTTTCGCTGAAAATTGTTCTTGAGCATGTCCCTTCGACTTTTCTACGAACTTGGTGAGGCAGATTTTTGAATAATCCTCCAATAATTTTCATTTGTAGTTTGCATCAATTGTATCCTCTTTTGTCATCTTTTTTCTCAAGTTGAGTTTTCGTTACCTTCTTCGTCAACTGTCAGATCTTCTTAACTATTGTTCAAAGTTCTTCCCCTTAATCTTGGATAATTCCTTACCACACTCAAACAACTCAAGATTTCACTCTTGACGAATTAACAATTTTTATAATCAAAAACTCACTCTTTCACCCCAACAAGTTTTCTTCCTATGACGATGCTAGAATTATGCGAAAAAAAAAACCTGAAGAAGATGCACTGGGAACCCTTAATGAAAAGTTGCCATAGGAAACATCAAGGCTGCACCTGAATGCGAATTTCTAGTATTACAGTAGAAATAATGTCAGTGCATAATTATGGCAAAAACATCTTTTAAAAGTGTTACCTATTTTCCTATTAAAATAAAACCCTGGCTTCGAAATCCTGTTAAATACGAAAATCCTGCCCGTAAGGTGCCGGCCACATCTAAGGGTTGGGTGAAATGACATAACTGTGTTGAAAAAAACCTCCTTCTTTGCCCTCACGCTGATATTTGATCACAAACCCCAGACACATTAACTTGCACATGAATACTGTATCTTTTAAAAGTGTTACCTATTTCTCTATTGAAAATGAAACCCTGGCTTCAAAATCCTGACTACTCATTCATAATGCTCTTGCAATTTCGCCTATTCCTAAAGATTTGCAAAGCAGTGTTTCTTCACTGAAAAATGTTACTTGATAAGCAAAATGTTTATTATGAAAATTCTTGAAGGCAGTGTGTTGAATCTATATTACAAAAACATTCTGAGACTCGCGCTCAGC